CAGGGTGGACTTGGACAAATGAAAATACCTCTGCTGTCTGACCTCACTCACCAGATTTCAAAAGACTATGGCGTCTACCTGGAGGACCAAGGACACACACTGAGGTGAAGTTATAGCCATCATCAAAGTTTTATAGCTTAAGCAGCTAAAAGAAATATTACTTATTATGTAGCATTGTTATGGCCCCTTGCTGTAAGTTAAAGGTTTTATTTGCAGTTGTAAAACTAATGGTTGTGATCAGTGTGTAAATGATAGATGGACTGGTTCTTATATAGTGCTTTTCAACCTTACCTGAGCACTCAAAGTTCGTTATACAACGTGCCTTATTCACCTTATGCAGGAAGGCATAAATAGTTCTAGAACCACAAATGGCATATATGAGGCGGAGTCCTGCTGCTGACATTTAGATAATTTACCCCCATGGAAACATTCACAGGAAGCATTGAGCAGCCACTCATGCTCTATTCTAACTCATCCATGTCTTCCTCAGGGGTCTATTCATCATCGATGGCAAAGGTATCCTGAGGCAGATCACTATGAACGATCTTCCGGTGGGAAGATCTGTGGATGAAACTTTGCGGTTGGTCCAGGCCTTCCAGTACACAGACAAACATGGAGAAGGTAAAAGGATGGATTTTATTATTAGCAGCTGAAATGTCTGACTGTCTTTCGTTTATGCAGAATACCTAGAAACAAACAGCTGGCTGTCAGCTGAGTCTTTGAGCTGTTTCTTCTTTAAATTCTGACTAGTTCTGTGTTATTGTTTTCACAGTGTGTCCAGCAGGATGGAAACCAGGCAGTGACACAGTAAGTATCACTGGACCAGTGACTAATATGGATCCTTAGGCACTAACTGCTATTGTCTTCCAGCATATTAAAAAAAAATCAGACAGGCAGCCATGTATTTGTAAAAACTGACGAGCTGTCTCAGGCTGATTGCCATAAAGAAGACTGTATATAAAGATGGATATAGTTTCTGAGTCTGAAAAGTGAAAGCATGATGGAAGTGCTTTAAAATTGCATTGTTTCTGTTTAGCGGCCAGCAGGGGGCAGCACTAGTTGCAAAAAAGCATCTGACTGTGTAACAGGATTAGAAAATGATCCTGCTGCTCACTTGAACGATGATCTCAGTCTGTAGTTTCAAGTCTTCTTAATGCATCGTGATTTGATTTAGTAAATTATGGTCCCATTTAGAGTAACATAGACCGTATTATTGACAATTAGGTATACTATGAGATACATTGTCATTGTTTTTGCAAATCAGACCCACCACTTTTTTTTTTTGTTATTCCTTCAAAAGAGTTTTTATTATTTATTTATTTAGTTAAAACAGTTCAGTTTGGCCTCGATGGTTGACCTTAAATTATTACCCACCAATTACACTGCAAAGATAAGAATTCACCTTTTGCTAATTTCTTCCATTGTTAAGTGGGAATTGCACTATGACTAGTTTATTATCAGAAATCTGAATTATGTGTCATATAGGTCTTCTTACATGAAATGTGCTGCACACTAATTTAATGATTTCTTTTCCACAGATCATTCCCGACCCTTCAGGCAAGCTGAAGTATTTTGATAAACTGAATTGATCTATTTGTTTTCCCAGTCTGTGAAATCCAACACTTACACTTTAAAATTTCCAATAAAATGTGTTTTCCTAAACTGCTGTTTGTCTGGTCTCTTATACCATGACGATGTTGAAAGTGATGTTGAAAAACTAGTTCATGCATTTATTACTTCTAGGTTGGACTATTGTAATTCGTTACTATCAGGATGTCCTTAAAAACTCCCTGAAAAGCCTTCAGCTGATCCAAAATGTTCTGCAGTGAGAGTACTGACAGGGACTAGAAACATTTGAACATATCCAGTGACTCCCAGATTCTGGAGACACAGAAGTGAAACTACTTGTTCCCTCTCTGCTGTCTGTGCTTTGAATTTCGTACAATATGTGATGAACAAACATTTTGCTGTAAAAAAACAGCCCCAGGCTGTCCAGCATGTGCAGTGAATAATGCAGGTAATGCCTTCAGCATTTACTTAGCACGCTGAAAACGCATTTAATCATTCTAGTTTATAGCTGCAATATGCAAACTTCACTGTGACCTTTGGGCAGCATGGTGGCTCGTTGGCTACACTGTTGCCTCACAGCAAGAAAGTCCTGGGTTCAAATTCAGTCTTTTTGTAGATGCACTTGTTTTTAAAATGCTTTTAAGGACTATTGCAGCAGGGCCCTGCTTGCTTGTGCTTTGCAAGAGAAACAAATGCATGCAAAAGTATCAGTGCCACTGTGATTTCAAGGGTAAAATTTGCTCTCGAATGAGTAAAACAAACTCAAATGTTTCATAAAATAAGTTAATCAGCTGCTGGTTACTAACCTGATCACCTATAGATAATGTTCATCCTCCACCACACCCCTTTTTTTGAGCTGTTAAAAACAGGTTATATAACTTGTTATATAACCTGTTTTTAATCAATAAAACTGTTTTTCTTTTCCCACAATGCAAATAACAGCATCTGAATGCATAGAAGCAGTAAGTTTTAGCAAGGGAAGAACAACCAGCTCAATGTTATGGGTTGATTTTGTATTTAAAATATTTTACACTCATTTTCAAAAGTGGGTTATTCTTTACTCAGCATAAGAGATGTGCTTAGCTTTTTTTTCTTAGGTCTGGTTAATATTAACCTTTTAAACAACATTCAAATGTCGTCCAGTCAACACAAAGATAAGGAGCGAGCAGAAAAGGAAAAGAAACAGGATGTAATGACCTGTTTGCCCATATATGGGTCACCTTTGTCTGGGATGTATAAAAGAGAAGCGTCTGAAGCTGCTCTGCCACTCTGCAACGCAGCCAATGCAGTTCTGTGTATGTTGGTTTCCCCATTTCATTGTCGGGGGGTAGACTCCTGAGGAGCGGATGAAGAAACAAATTTTGCTTTTGTTTACATTCAGAGGATTAGTGAGCAAAGGGAAAAGGGGTAAAAAGAGAAAATGGCCAGTTTTATATTACGGACAGCTGAACCAAAGGATGTCTCAGATATCCTGCGACTCATAAAGGTAAACCATATGTGAACTGATAATACTTCAAGCCTTTAACTGGGAGTGTGCTTAACTAACAGAAATATGACCAAATGACCTTGCCTTTTAGGAGCTTGCTAAATTTGAAGAGATGGAGGAGAAGGTGGTGCTGACAGAAAAAGGTGCTGTGATTTAGCTTCATGGTGAAGTTTGCATTGATCTGGAGTTTGAGAAAGCTTATATGTTATGTTTTTTTTTGTTTTCAGATCTGCTTGAAGATGGCTTTGGGGATCATCCATTCTACCACTGTTTGGTTGCTGAAGTCCCAAACGAGAAGAGCTCAGAAGGTAAAAATGCGCCTCTTACAAAATATTCTCATATTTCTCAGGAACTATTAATGTTGTTCACGGGTCTGATCCACTATTTAATCCCCTGCTCTGTGTTTTCTTCAAGGGTACACTGTGGTTGGGTTTGCTATGTACTACTTTACATATGACCCATGGATTGGAAAGCTTCTGTACCTGGAAGATTTCTTCATCATGCAGGAGTTTCGTGGTACGTTTGATGAAAAGTTTTATTGCAGTGGTAAAGGTTAATGACTAACACAGGAGAGACTTCTTTCCTACTTTGCGGGACAATTTGTACTCATTGCCAAAGAACTTTCTTAATTGCTCCATGAACACGTAATCTTTCACCAGGTCTTGGCATTGGTTCAAAAGTCCTGAAGGTGCTGAGCGAGGTACTTTTAACATTGCACACTTCAACATTTTTCTGGTGACAGAGTCACCTTTATTTCAGCTGCATTCACGCGTGCACTTTTCTTTTCTCCTTTTTCCTAGACGGCAGTGAAGACCCGCTGTAGCGCCATGCATTTTATAGTAGCAGAAAACAACACCAAGTCTATTGAGTTCTACAAGAGAAGAGGTGCAGCGGATCTGTCCTCTGAGGAGGGGTGGCGTCTTTTTGCCATTGAAAAGAAAAATCTGCTGAAAATGTCTGCCAAATAGAGTTTGTCACTCTTAAACTTGTGCTGATGTCTGGTGATAGCAGTGAACTTTGCTCTATGTGATCAGTGACTTGGAGCAGCCTCAATAAATGCATTTATCAATCAGCTGTTCCATTCTGATCACAAACCATGTCTGGGACTTTTGAGGTCATTGCTAAATTCACACTGATCTTGGAAGTTTGGTGAATGAACACTGAAACGTGATAATTACATGGTAATAATCTACCACACAGCTGGAAAGTTTGTGAGACTTGAACAAGCATGCTAATAAATACATTAATAAATATAGATTTTATGTGTTTGGGATTTTCCATCACAACCTACATATCATCCTGTGCCTCTTTGCTATGTTGCCTTTCCCAAGCTGACTAATATTATAGTGCTTTTTTAAAATCATATGCACATTGTAATTCAATCAGACCTTAGAATTATAATACGGCATTAAGAGTTTTTGGGATTATTTTATTCATTAAATGCTGAAATGTCACAATATAAGAGAAAACAAAAGGCCCTCTTACATACTGAGTAATTTTAACAAAGTGAAAGTGTAGAAGTGTGTATGCATAAAGATAAGTATGGAGAAGCTGTTACTATTACTGATTAACATTCTTTGCTGATAACCACTAAATTTCGCATAAATGCAATTGTCTAACCACCAGTTCCTTCTAAACTGGAAATTTCTGCAATAAAAACCCTATCAGTAGCTAAAACTGCAACATATTTAAAACTGATGGATGCATTTCAGATATTTTATGTCTAATTTCTGGAAATTTTTAACAGCACTTTAGCACTTTAGTTTTATTTTCTTTTTAGATCACTTTTAATGGAGTTCAAAAGAAGCGCAGTTAACACAGTATTTGGGAGAACAAACTACCCAGGTACAGTTGTGCTGCAGATGTGTGGGGGGGGAACAGCTATACTTGTAGGCTTAACAAAACTGCAGAAGTGATAGGTTCATTTATAAAACAGGGCAGTCGTCGGTTTGTTTAAGTGTTGAAGCAATGCTATCTATCTTGAGGTCATAGTTTAATTGTCCTTTTATTGTGATGCACTCTGTTGTTTGGCGCGAACTGACGTAGTCCTTAGTCAAATTACTTGCTGATACACCGGGCCATGGAGCATAAACTAATTACAGTTACCGCTGCAGCGCACGCTTTCACACGACCCGCGTTGTTCTTTAGATTATGGCCTGTTTGGTGCCTGTCGGGCTGATTTCCACCACAACCCTTCCGCATTTTCCTGCTGCTCTCGGGCTGTGACGTGTCGTGCTGACGGCGGCCTCGGAGCTGGAGGAGCGGGGGGCTGTAGCATGACAAGATCTGGCTCGAGACGTCCTGCTTTGCTTTCAGCGGTGCTCCTGAATCAACCCCTAACCCCTCCTTCTCTTCTCCTCTCCGGCCCGCCCAAATAACACAAAATTCCCGACTGAATCCTGCCCGAGTCTGGGGGAACCAGGCGGCCTGGGAAGCCGAGGAGCGGACAGAGGCATCCCTGCAGCACGAATCTGGTACGCGGCTCGTTTTTGTGCCAAAGGCGTCCGATTTCAGAGCTGTGTTTGCATTTGTACGTGCCCGTGGCCTTTTGTTTCTTACATGCATGTATTTTAATTTATTTCTTTATTTTTTCTGAGAGGCCGCAAAGGGTTGGGCCTTTTCTTTTCTGGGCCGGGGCCTCAATAGAGGCCGTAATTGGCAAATCAGGCCTATCCCGTTAGCTAGCGAGCCACCCGAAAAAAGGGATTGCATATTGGTCTGTCGTAGTTGGCCATCGGCATTTGTTATCGATAGCTGACAGCTGATATGCAACGCACCATTCAGCCTCAGTTTCGTCTGACACCTTGTCGTCGCCGAGGAGTAGTTTAATAAACGTTAAAATTAGCATTCGTCCAGCAGTTAAGCTAACAAAATGGCGGATGCTTGTGTGATGGAAATTGGTTGTAGAAAAGGTATGTGTGTGTGGGTTCAGCCCTCCTCTCGCTAGCTGGCCGGTACAGAGCGACATAAGTGTGCACTTAACGAAAGCCTCGTTTCTTTGCATCTTTATCTTTGTGCTTGCAATCAGCTTTTTCTAAACGTCTGTTTGCACCGTGACAGTCGAGCTCTGCATGTGTAATCAGTGCTAATCTTCCTCCAGTGGTCAATTGAAGATATTGCCGTGAATCACCTCATCGGGATTTGTGTTGTGCTTTAGATTCCTCGTAGTGTGTCCGATTGCCCGAGTTTTTAAAATTATTTATTTTTTTATGTGATGTCGGTGTCTTTTGAGCACAAGTGATGCGGGGTTGTGCCGCACATCTTCCTCACACCGTTGTCATCTTTTTCCACCTGGAGGTGGGGGGATGGTACATTCAGTGGAAATTAAATGGCAACCCGGGTGCATCGTTTTCTGTTTACACCTCAGTGTTCCCTTGTGTTAGTTTCAGAGAGATATCTGTGTTGTTTTTCTTGTCCTACATTAGCTCAACTTTACCTCCATTTTTTGGGTGGGGAGGCGAAACGTGTCTTTGATTCTGTTAACTGTAGTGATGCGGGCATGACAATAATGGCACTGGTCATTTTAGTTTCTGTCCGTTATCGCACACACGAGCTAACAGTGTAAAGCACATTTTATTTATTATTCTTTTTTAATGTTGTGGTTTCCCTTTTAAAAATAGCTTAAAACCACAAAGCTGAAGTCGTGGGGTTTATGTGTGTTTGTGTGTGTGTGAGAATTAAAGGTCAAATAATTTGGATCTTCACAAAGAAACACTGCGTGAGCAAAGGCAAGGCTACAGCGCGATTTTAACCGGGGTTGTTCTTGATAAAGTTCGATTCAAAAGTTGGTTTATAGGTTACTGTGAGGTAGCAATCAAGTCTTTGAAGCCTGATTTGGATGCTTGACAGCTTTTAATGCTCCAGGGCAGAGAAGAGCACACTTTCTATGGAACAAAACGAGAACTGAGGTTAGTGAGTGTACACCATGTTTACAGTATCAAGCCCACAGATGCCCATACGTGCCCAGTTTGCTGTAAAGTGAATCTTGAAAGCATACGCATTAACTGTTATGGTGGTGGCAGGGAATTGTGCAGCAAAGGCCAGTGATGGAGGAGTGTGGGTGACTGTAGAAAAGCATGGAATCAGCCAAAGTGGGGAAAAAAGATGACTATTAAAAGTTGATTTAATATACTTAATGCTTCTCTGTTGAGGGCTTCTGAAGTGGAGCGTATCATAAAAAGTTTGAGAACCACTTTGTTATGGAACTGCTCAAGCTACAGTACTTGTACAATGCCAGGCCGCTGGTCTGTATCATGTGAATCATGTTACAGTGATTCAACAAGTTATACTAAGTCTTTTTTTGAAAACACGCTGGATGCCAGGCTCATTGGGGACTTCATGGGGTAGTGTGCAAAAGAAATGACACCAGCATTGTTGGGCTAACATTTGGCGATGTTGGCCACGTTTGCATTAGCAGCTCGTGTGGCAACTCTGACAAATTGAAATGGATTTAAAGCAGATTTGGGACATAAACATATGATTTTTTTAAAAAAAAATCTTTTTTAGTTCCAGTGGCTTGAGGCTGTCAAAGCAGCAGTGTTTTCATCACACATCATTGTGTGTGTGTGTGTGTGTGTGTGTGTGTGTGTGTGTGTGTCTTGAGTGACCTGGAGTGGCTGCTCTGAGTGTCATACAGAAAAGCATAACCGTACACCTGTAAAATATTGTATGAGAAGGGCAATGGTGTGTAACAGCATTACAATATATAAGTAACCTATTATCTGCATAATTTTCTGCCTGTGCTTACTTTATACTAAGCTGTCTATCATTTGGTTTCAGCTGTCCAGTAACAAATGCAGTGCGAGGACAATGGATGAGGATGTCACCAGGCTTGCAATACATTCTGAAGAGCCTAAAATAATATTGCACGGATCGGGTAATTAGCAATGCTTATACTTACAGAGTACGTCTTGCTGGTATGAGAAGTACAATAGTACTAGCAGGATTTCTTTCTTTTTTGTGGATAGCCAGATAACTTTAAATATTTGAATGAAAGTGTTGTTTGGAAGGAGATGACATGAGCATCCACAGCAAAGTCATATTATGACTGTATGACCATTTAAATCATTATCACACAATAAACCCTTGCTCTTCACTGTTATCTGGTTAACCGTGCAATCCTGCTTCTTCTAGATGAAGGTGGTGCCGGCGGACAGGAGTTTGTTGTGGAGCTTCAAGAGACTGTGTTGGTGTCAGAAGGCGAAGGGGAAGGCATGGCAGTTCACAGGTTCGCCCCAGACGAGCTAGTGATCCAGGATGCTGTTGAGGATGTGGTTTCTGAGTATGTGCACTGCGATGAAGATGAAGATGTTGCTGTAGAAACCTGTGTGATGGCTCTGGATGGTGAGGAGGAAGGTGTTGCCATGGGAGACATCCCTGAAGATGGGCTGGACCCAGAGCAGCAGGAGGACGATGACCAAGATGGCTGTGGAGATTATCTAATGATATCCTGTAAGTTTACTAGATTGTGCTGCATTTACACTTAGCATACATGTCTTTGGTTTGTTGTATTATTATTATTATCTGTATAATATCTGTCGCTTGGAGAGATGGAAAATTTATATGCAATTAAAAGTTAAAGAATACCAGTAAGCAGTCGTAGCAGTAGATACTCCCCTGATCTTTTTATGAGCTGTCCTGTTAACCGCAGCTTATGTTCATCTAATATTAGTTAAACATTTCTGTGGTTTTGGTACCAAAGAGCAGAAGTAATAACTTCTGAGCTCATAGGTCCACCCCCCCCTTCTCTTCCACCTTTTGGGGGAAAAAGCATAGAACTCAAAATGAGCACATGCACAGATCAGAAAAGATCTAATATTGCTTAAGAGTCAGTTGTGCCTCTGTAATGGCTGATGCATTTGCAGTGTATTTAAAAGGAAACATCCATGTAAATGACAGGACGAAAGGTTTAAATCTACAGTGTAGGCTAACATGCACCTTCCCACCTGCAGCAACGTAGACCTCAACAACTAATGTAAACACAGTTTATAGATTAGCACAGTGATAGTACCCCTGTGAAATTAAATCAATGGGTTTTAACCATATGTAGCTTGCTCATTGTGCTGTGGCAGCCCAACTGCCATGGTGGTGGCAGATGGCTGCCCCTCCCTCAGCCTGGTTCTGTTAAAGGTTTCTACCTGTTGAAAGGGAGTTTTTCCCTCCCACTGTCACTCAGTGGTTGCTCATAGGGGATCGTATGATTGTTCAGCTTTTCTTATAAATAAAACTGAATTGAATGTAAATAAGCAAATCTTTCTCATTTTCAATGTGTTTTTGAATGTGTCAAGTTTTCCTTTTTATTATATATTGTACAAGTTGAAGCACTTATGTGTTTGGCTTAGTTTGCCTTAGTTACTTTGCACATCCAGCTACATAACTACTGCACGTGCACATCCCTGCTGGAAAGAATATCACACTTATAGCCACATAATGAGCGGAGGTGGTCTGTTTTTGTTTTTGTATTTCCCCAGGCTTAATTAAAATTAGAAAATTGTGGACGGACACACTGTACAACTTCTTTCTCGCGCATAGTAGTAGTTTGCATTGAAACAAAACAAAAGATCACAGTTTTTTGTTTTTTTTTTTGGGGGGGGGGACTCATTAACTCTAATTTCCCTGAGTACCCGGAGATTTGCTTTAGTCATAAATGCTATGAAGATGTCAGTTTGAAAAGGTGGAATTGAAGGGTTTTTTGTTGCTGTTTTTTTTTTTTTTTTTTTTTAATAAGAGATCATACTAAATCATAATGAGTTTTGATCTTTAGATTTAATATTTAGATAAGCTTCTTAAACGATCGAGTACCTTATTTGCACTCATTTCATGTAAATATTTCCAGTATGTCATAATTTACACTGCTACAAAGTCTCTGCTGGTGACTCTGTTTAATCAAGTCTGATGTGTGTCCCTTTGCTAGTGGATGAAGCTGGTAAAATGGTGTCTGAGGATGGAACAGAGGTGACAGTGGAAGGAGCTGTGGAGGACCAGGAAGTGGAGAAAGATGAGGATGGACAAGAGGTGATAAAGGTCTACATCTTCAAGGCTGATTCTGGGGAAGATGACATGGGTGAGTGGCAGTTAGCTTTCCGTTAATAAAAGAATCATGATAATAAACAATACTTGTTTACTACTTTCAGAAAGTAGAGAACTGAACTTAAGTTTCATTGTGCAGGAGAATCTGTTGACATCAGTGACGGGGACACAGAGAACGTTGCGTTAACAGAGTCTTCGGGCCATACGCTCAGAGAGAAGATGGTTTACATGTCTGTTGGGGATTCTCATCACAATCAAGGAAACCACGGTGAGTCATCTGGATGCAAGGAGCGGGGACAGCTGTCATGAAACTGAACGTCACCAGTTTTTTGGTTTTGTACCTGTTGGGCTCATCTACAGGTGGGTCCAAGGTGACTGATGAGGTTTATATGGAGGTGGTGGTAGGAGGCGAAGAGCCAGTAACTCACGACCGCTCGTATGACAGCGTGTCTCTAAGCAAGGACTTCATGCCTGTGGCCTGGGCAGCTGCTTATGGTCAGCACCCTTGTCTATTAAATTGCTATAAAAACCACACTGGAAGCCTGTGCATCAACCACGTCTCTTGGTGTCCTGGTTAAGCTTTACACGCACCGGTTTTGTTTGTTTATATGCCAAAGACGTGTTGTTTCTCTCACAGGTGCAGAAGATAGCGAGAGTTGTGAGAACCGGAACGGTGCAGCCAGCGCGCTGCTGCATATTGATGAATCGGACGGGGTGGACGAAATCAACAGACAGCGCAACAAGACCAAGAGGCGGTCGGAGCCTCGACAAGTCCAGACAGGTGAGAACGGCTCAAATCAGACACAGACTTCTCAGGCTTGTTTGGATAAAAATGAGCATTTGTCTAGTGTTTTTAAGACTGAATAGCAGAAGAGATGATGAAAGCAGCGGCTCTATCATTTTCAGTAACAAATAATTTTGAGATATATTATAATAGTGAGTTTTTTACACCAGTGCCGTTTTTTGTTTTTTGTTTTTAAGTAAATTAGAGTGTGGTATAACTAGGCATAGTTGTCATTTTCACATTGTTGGCTGTGCATATTTCTACAGTTTGTACAGCACCATCCAAACCAGTTCAGCATGTTAGAAGCAACAACTTCTTCTGCTCTTGTTTAATAGTTGTTGACGAGCAGCTTCTCTGTGCATTACCGCCCACTCCTGGCAGTTGTAACACATTACATCCTAAAAGGCAATTATGAGAACAACTGAGAAAATATGTAATTTGTATAAAAAATAACTGCATTATTTATTTATTTATTCTAAAATCATGCCTGTTCATATTTGGCATTAGTACTCAATATAATACATAATATGATTTTTATTTTTTATAGTGGTTAGCACAGTTTAAAAGGGCTCATTGTTTATGACTTGCCTTCTAGCGGCAGTTAACTAGTTTATCCGGTTTATTGTACCGATGGGCTGTTTTGATGACACTTCTTTATTTAAATACGATTGTCTGAGCAGTAAAAGCTGGTTGACATTGAATTCAGATTTTATTTGTACACTAAGCTTGATTAAAGGAACACAATTACTGTGTGCTGCTGCACAGTACATGTTCTACTTTTGTTGCTTTGATTTTTAGTTCAGTTCATATTCGATATTGTACAGCTAAACATTTAATTGATATTTATAATTTCACCAGTATTGAAATATTGAAGATAAACACTGCTCTTCAAAAAAAAAAAAAGCTTCTGTTTATGAAGGAAATGACCAGTGATGTGGTCATTTCCTTCTCCCTTTTTATTTTTTCTTTTTCTTAAATTTAATTTTAATTTTTTTCTTTCTCTCCAGCCATTATCATCGGTCCATATGGTCAGCCCCTCACCGTTTACCCCTGCATGCTCTGTGGTAAGAAGTTCAAATCACGAGGCTTCTTGAAACGCCACACCAAGAATCACCACCAGGATGTTTTGACCAGGAAAAAGTACCAATGCACAGACTGTGATTTTACCACCAACAAGAAAGCCAGCCTCCACAATCATATGGAGGTGCATGCTCTGAGCAGCAAGGCCCCTTTCGAGTGTGAAATGTGTGGCAAGGAGTTCCACCAGCAGGCGGCACTATTTTCTCACAGACTACAGCACCACCACCGGGAGCCCAAGAGCCAGCCACCTCCACCGCCCACCAAGATGCATAAATGCAAGTTTTGTGACTATGAAACTGCCGAGCAAGGGCTGCTCAATCGACACTTATTGGCAGTTCACAGCAAAAGCTTCCCCCACATCTGTGTGGAATGTGGCAAAGGCTTTCGACATCCTTCGGAGTTAAAGAAACACATGCGCACTCACACCGGCGAGAAGCCTTACTCCTGCCTGTACTGCGACTATAAGTCAGCCGATTCCTCTAATCTCAAAACGCACATCAAGACTAAGCATAGCAAAGAGATGCCATACAAATGTGAGCGCTGTTTCCAGACGTTTGCAGAGGAGGAGGAGTTAATGCAGCACGGATTAACGCACGAGGAGAATAAGACCCACCATTGTGCCCACTGTGATCACAAAAGTTCCAACTCCAGTGACCTGAAGCGTCACATCATATCTGTTCATACCAAGGACTATCCCCACAAATGCGCCGTTTGTGGGAAAGGCTTCCACCGGCCGTCTGAACTGAAGAAGCACTCGGTATCCCACCGTACTAAGAAAGTCCATCAGTGCCGGCACTGCAACTTTAAAATCGCAGACCCCTTTGTTCTCAGTCGCCACATCTTGTCAGTCCACACAAAGGAGCAACAGGCCTCACCTGAAAAGAGTGAGACCAAGAGGACAGAAACGCACAC